CCAGAGAAACATAAGACTTTGGTAGTAAATACCTTTTGTGTTTATTTACCTTCTTTTTTTATTGAGACGTTCCAATGTCTGTGAAGATGAGGTTACAAGGTATACCATTTTATACTGACGTTTTCAAGTTATTGTCAATGTCATTGAATTTGAAGTTATTGACATGATATAGTATTTCCAAATTCACAATAAACAAATGACGTGAATATTCTTCCGACTCCGAGCACCAGAAACGCATTCGTTGCGATATGCGAAAAATAATGTGGAGAAAGAAAGATAAGAAAAAAAGAATAATGCATAATTCAAGTAAAACTTCAAGCCCGGTGCACACGTTTTACTCAAGTTAAAATGAGCATGCGTCAAAATACTCACGTGTGCGCCTGATTTTCGTAGAGTTTTCTGACGCATACATCAAAAAACATCAAATCACACATGTTAGATGATTTTGACGTCGTGCATCCAAAATGCTCAACGTGTGCGCGCTAGCTGCATAAATTTACTCAACAGTGGTACTCACAGCTATGCGTTTAAATCATTTTAAAGATGACTGTTCCAGTATTGGCTGCGGCACAGTCACGCGATCTACATTACCACATACCTTGAGTAATTTTACTCTTGTTTGCGGCGGACGCTGAAATATTCGCGTGAGTACTTCGACTCGTGCATCATTTTACTTGAGTAAAATTACTCACGTGTGTGCTGCGGCTTTAGGCACATGCCTTCCCGCGCACAAAATTACTTTATTACAAAATGTGAAATATTAACACCTCATTTCCATAAACCTCATAAACCTCAATCATAAATATTTAGTCTCCAAAGCCAAGCTTGAGGATATATATCGAAGTATGACCTATACCTATATCGAAGTATAGTGCCTAACAACACTTCGATACTCCATGATTCATGAAAATAGCTCTCAACAACCAGTTTCTGATACATGGAAAGAATATCTCAACGAATTGTTGGCTAGGAAACACCTATATCCTAGTTTAGCCACCTTGGATTAGTTTAGGACATTTGCGAAAAACATTTGCGGTGTCCCAAACTAGAATTGTGCCAGTGCAAACAAAGCGCCTTCTAGTACTGTACGTAGTACATACTCTATGTGGTGCTCGACAAAGTAGCTCTGAACAACCAGTTTCCAATGCTCGGAGAGATATCTCAACTGAACGCATTTTCGATGCTTGGAAGAATATCCACGTCGACAGACACAACTTGCTTAAAATATTGTATGTACCGTTTGTACACATAAATCTGTGCCCTATTGTAAACTGTACAAAGCACATAATGGATTTTATGCACCTTATGTATCACGAAGTAATATGCACATCTACTAGAACTGTACCAATATACAGATGCGTGATTGATACTTTTTGTGCTTAAAGGACCAGGCTCTTTGCGCGCAAGTTGATTGTTTATAGATGGCGAAATGGTTTTCGCCCGGGCG